TGGCCTACAGGTTTTTTTATCCATAGAATTTCACCAGGCTTAGAGAAAATCCTCTCACCGACTTATTTTGGAAAGTAACTGCCATTTCTTTCCAGTATTTACCAGGTCACTTTTTCATTTAAGGGATATGTTAGGGATCTTTTCACTTCTACTGCATAGTCAGCAGAATCAATATGAATTTTCTCAGCCACTTGACTAAAGGGTTAAATTATTTATTTATATACGTACATAAAACACACGACAGAATTAAACAGAAGGAAAGTTTAGAGAAAGTAATTAAACAGAGAATAATATCAATATGCAATTCAAGACGGTATCCATGTGAGAATACAAAAATACAGGTAGGATGAAAAATAAGCTACACTTTAAAATTATTTATTTTAAAATAAAATAAAAAATGTTAAAATAAGAATTGTGGGCTATCCTCACTGTTATCTGTTTCATGTGATGTCTGTTGCCAACAGTCACTACTGCTTCAGAACTGGTTTGAAGCTGACAAGGGGGTTCAGAAAGTACCCTATCTGGGGATATGGAGTAGAGGATGATGGTGCCATAAGCTGTGATTCTCGACAAAGTCTCAAAACTTGGGAAGCTTTAGGACTCACTCGTTGTGTTGCCAGTTTTCAGCATTATAACTTTCAGTGTTTTCTGCTTGCTGCCCTAAGCCAAGTACAAATAAGATTTAGTATAAAATGTTGAGTCTCCTACACATTGCAGAGGAACTTTTAATAATTGCAAGATGTACTTTATATATTGCTTAGAGAAAACAATCAGAAAAGGGTTTGAAAATAAAGGTGTGAAGCAAGCAGCACTAGCAGACTCTTCCAAACAGAATCATAGGGGATCTCGTTGAAATGATATAATAGCCATTTGTGATATAAAATGCTCAGCCAAGCCATTTAATTTCCACCGAGTCCATAATTAAACTGTGCCAGAAAACAGGCTAATTGGAACTACTTTAGCAAAACCGTCACAATGATTTATTTAAAGATGCTCAATCAAAGTCAGAACTATTTCACTATGTTAAAACTTGTCTTAGCAATAGAAATAATTCATTATTATAGTTTATATGGTTACATCATTTTCTGAATTAGGTTTTATCTTGAGTAAGCTTGAAAGAATGTCGTTAACATTTTTCAAACTGGAATACTGAATAGAATAGAGCTGTGAAAATGTGATCAGATTACATTCTTTTCCTGCAGCTTCGAAGACAAATGGTAAAAAAAAATGGCTGGTTTTAAATATTACAGTCAAACTCCTCCTCAGGAAGGCATCCGAAACAAATGCCCAAACCATTGGCATCTGGATGAAAAGTGACTACTCTGAGCACTACACAAGTATCTGAGCTCCTCACCCTATCCTTTATAGAGAATATAGCCACCCAAGTGTATCTGATTACAGCATGCAGTAAATGTGTCCAGAGTGTACAGCCCAATTTGACCTGGTGATAGGCACCAGCAGACCCCCGCGACCGCGAAAGGAAATAATAAGTGGGTTAGAAGAGAATGAATCAGCATTGAAGCCACCAACAGTAGTGAAGAAGGATTTAGGGGGAATGGACGGCTCGATCCACGCCTGCCCCTTTTCTGCATACTGCAATAAGACCCCTCTCTAGCCATCTGGAGGAAAGCAGACTGTTCCCACTCTTTTCTCTACATTGCTTTCTGCTGATTGGCTTTTGCAAGTTTGCCCAGTTGTTTTTAAATGTCTACCCTGGCTTTATTTTATTTTTTTTTACCTTTTTTGTATCAGTGTCTAACTAACTGGCTCTTAAGTGGTATTTTGAGCCCTCCAAAATGTCAACTTAACTTTACAAAGTAATGTAGTTTTTTCTGAGATTGTAATATTTTTGATTATAGCTATTGTGATACCTTTGTGTGTATTTCATGTGTAGAGAGAATGTTTTTTGTTGTTTGTATTGTTAATTGTACATTTTATAAGGTTTGTGGTGGGGCAACAAATGTTGAATTCATTGTTCTTAGGTTTCAACTTATGTCAGTAATGTAATTCTACGAGCTATTAAAAAAACTGTTCTACCACTGAACAACTAACGACTGCATGCTTTTAAGGACATTGTATAATAAATTTGATCTTAAAAATAACATTTATATTTTGTGAATAACAATCTGACCAGAAGATGGTGCTCATTCAAAAGATCAGATAAAAACGTCTCACTCCTACAGATTTTAAAACATTTAAACTACATTTATAAATGTTAATCAGGATCTTTCAAATTTGCAAAAGCAGAAATCAATGTTTTACCAGCTGCTTACTGTGCTTTTAGGGTTCAAATATGTTAATCTTTGTAACACCATTTGTATTCAGAGACTCAAGCCTAACTCATTAATGCAACGAATGATGAAAAATACAATGCCTAGTGTTTTAACTTTTGTTATTAATTATGTTTTTATTATTTATTTTGTAAGCATTGTCCTAAAACATGTTTTAAACATCATTTGTTTGTATTCATTAAAAATCATTCAGCAAACACCGCTTTTTATAGAAATAAAAATTTTATGTTTACAAAGGAAAAATTCGCCTGATTCCTAACCACAAATAATAACATTAATAACATACTGTAATAGTCTCAACATTTAAAACAGAATGGGAAATTAAGTCATGATTTCAATTCAAATGATCAATTCATACATTTTTGAAAATACTTTTATCCAGCTTTGAATAATTTATTCACATGTTCCAGACTAATGCTGCTGTTTACCATGGTGACTCATTTTCATTGGACCGTTCTGACATTGATTCAGATTACAATTGTTTAGCATATATGATGACTACAGCAACAGTTCTTTGTTTGTTAGGTCTTATTTTGTATAACTTCCAACTCATTTCAGAACATAAAATGATCATCGTCAATAATAGAAGACCATTTAATACCGTAAATTGATTCTTAAAGTATTAATTAGGAAAAGGTTATCATTTGAAAACACTGTGGCGATTAGAAACGTTGACCAAAAAGGCGGGAATGCTCTATACACTGAATATTAGAATTCACGAACGAGTGATAAAAGAATATATATATATATATATTTTGTTTCAGGAATAGTTTCTTTTTCTCGTGTGTATACGATTAGAAAATCCTACCTGGGTCTGCCGTTTGATATGATTTTGGACCACGCTGATAACAGGTATCTGTAGCGTCGAGGAAATAAACTCCAACTTCACAAGCTCGTCCCTGTTTTGAGGAAAACCGAGAATGACAGATACTCCTTGAACGATGACAGTGTGACAAACACTTTGTAGGAATGATACTGGGTCAGCACAGGCAGGTGAAGAGGATGAGGAGAAGGAGAAAGCAGGTAGCTCCCCAAGCCCTGCTTCCACGGCCATCACAATCTCAAGGCTCAGGTTATAAGGTAAAAGCCCAACCACTCGATTGAGGCTCTCTGTGGCGATAAGAACCGAGTCTCGAGGTAGAAACACAACACCCGGAGCCACTTGTTTGAGTACACCTTTACTTTTGGAGGGCTTTTGTGGGCTACTCACAGAGCTTCTAGTCCTAATACCCCTCCAGTCTTCTTCCTGCTCACTTTGGGACAGCACGTCCCACTCTTCCCACGTTTCTCTGTCCGCATCCCAGTCCTGATCCAGTTCACTGTTGGTAACCTGTCTGAAAACCCGAGGCTGAAGGTGGAGAGCTCCGACTCTCACGGTATGCCCGATCCTCTTCAGAATCTGACATGGTTGTGGATGCGCCAGAGACGCCGGAGGAACAAACATCATTATCAAAGCCCCTGGCGCAAGCAAAGAGACCCACACCAACCTTCCCAGCGCATCCCAGACCCGACAGCCCGTCATTACTCCAAACAAGCCTCGGTGAAGCTCTGGGAACGACGGGGTCCGCGTCCTCCTGCGCGTCCGGAGGCTCCTGCACAACGCTGTGATGGATCGCCGGTGAATCTTCCGGACACAGCAAAGTTGCGCTCCTCTCCAACAGGCTTCTGAAGGATTGCCAGCAATGCACACGTCCAACGCGAAACAAAACACTTGTTTCTCATTTCAAAAGCTTTAACTGACTCACCACTGCTGTAAAATGTCCATAAATGTGTTTTACGCGCTCTCCAAACAGGTTAAAGAGAGCTTCTGATATGCAAACTGACCGAAAACCCCTAAAGGCTTCTGCGCTCCAAATCAATGCCGAAGAAGTACATCTTTAATTATGAGTAAAAGAAATAAAGACTGCCTTCGTGGGAATTATGCCAATAAATTTGTATTTCTTTTTCCAACGTGGTGATGAAAAATATTCTAATGGATCTCCAAATATTGCGTAAAATGAAACGCAGATTGTTGGGATAAAGTCGCAGAATGGCGCCAGAGTGGTGCAGATTCTTGCACTGGCTGTGCAGTGCGTTTAACCCCTTCACTGACGCTTTGGCATCTTTCCAGCTCTGTCAGATAGCTTCTTGAATTCCTTTTTTAGCTTTTAAACGGAATTTAATCTCCTGTCACAAAACAAGTACAATCACAGGCAAATATAAAAAAAAGTAATCAAATTCATTTTCTTTTCTTTAAAGTTCTATTGAGGCCAATGCATCTTTCCCAGGGGACTAGATTTATCTCTAAAACTGCCAAAAATAGAAACGAACATGCATCACATTTATTTGCTTAAAGATAAATAAAGAACTTAACATTTTTGTTTAAATTTTTCATACATTTGTTTTCTAAATTGACGATAAACCTGTCTTACCATTCTGAATCCACCCTGGGTCTGATCCTGTGTGTTAAAAGCAGACAAGGAAAGCAGAAAAAAGTATTGCCACATCCAGCGAAGTCTTCTTGTATTTTTTCCTCTGTCTTTTGAAGGCTGATTTAGAAATATCTTGGGATGATCTGGTACAAATTTCAGGATTCCCCTGATATGTTCACCTCTCAAACTGTACAACTGCTTTAAGCAATTTATACATTTTTACATTACATTTATGCATTTGGCAAACACTTTTATCCAAAGCGACTTACATTTGAATGAATGAACACATTTTTTGTCAGTTCTTGCTTGATTTGAACCCACAACCTTTGCATTGTTAGTGCAACGCTCTACCAACTGATCCATATGAAAGCGAAATATTTAGTTATTTGGTGCTTGTTTGTGCATATTCCCTTTTTTCTCCCAACTCTGACTGCATAGTAGCAGTGGCTTTCCAGGAAGTAAAGAAAATTGTCATTGGACTTATCCACAAAGCTACAGTAAAGTATTAGACTGGAAGTTTATCTTCTGTTCTCTTCCAATGTACTGTACTAAAATGCTGCTACTGCACCCTATGAGCTTATTCAGATCTGGCACCCTCGAATTTGTGTAAACAAAGTCTATCATTTAAAAATAAAGGGCTTGACTGCTAACTTAAAATCACTTACATTTTTTTTTTATTTGGACATCAAGGACCCAAATCTGGAGGTCACAGTCAAGCAGCAGAATGTTTTAGTTCACTTCCAGGTGCTAACCAACGTTTTGGAGATGCAGATTTCCCTTTCCAATAGCACTTGGCACATGCCCATGAAGCCAAAGCTACCAGTACTTGGTTTAATAGCCATGGAATATCTGTATGTCACTCCATCTTGATGTTGGAGACGATGCAAAAGGAGCCCAACAAAGTATTGGGAACATAATAAAGTATATTATCACATTTTACAGAAGGCCACCATGTAAAAATTACATTATAAATGCTTTTAATATTTTTAACATATTTAATCCACAGCTAAATACATAAAAAAACTACAACATATTTAATCTATAACTAATATAACGTACAACATTTATTACATCCCTGGTGATCTACTGTTGGACTGGAAAGTATTCATTTTTGTCTACTGTATTCTCAATTTAAGTTTACTATGTGTCTGGTCATTTTATGCCCATATATGAAGTCATTCAAGCAGTTGTTCAAGTTAACTATTAGAAAATGAGAAATCTGTTATCAGCAGATCCCCCACCCCTATTCTCATATATAGTAAGAAAATAATATGTACAAAGCAATAATAATAATACAACACTAGTATATAATGGTACTTTAACTGGCCTGAAGACATGAATAGTTTGCTACTGTCAATGTCTTGTCAACAAATACACTACAAAATGACAAGTTAAAGAAGACAATATAATTCCTTGACTTTTGACTTCTCAAGATAAAATTGCAGTGTTCATTAAATCATTTTCCTGCCCACTTATTGCCTTCCTAGATTACAGGGGTCTGCTGGTCTCACATCAGGTGAGAGGCAGAGGTCCAGGCTGCCGGTCCGTTGCAGAAATTGCAGTGTTACTTTTTAGAATTTAATTGAACTTACTTGAATTTCAAAGCTGTACATGAAGCATTTAGTTGTGTTACTGTAAATGCACACCACAGTCATTTATCTCCATTATCTCAACCTTTGATGGCAGTTGCATTTGTGTAGTAGAGCTAACAGGGCGTGCCATTGTAATGTGGAGGTGGGATATTTTTTAGCATTTGCATGTAAACATTGGCTCAAAGAAATCATCTTCCATGCCTTTAATGCAAATGTTTGAATAATTTGGGCTTTAAGTGGATTTTGAGTTTCAGTCTTTTCCCAAACAGTACAAAACTGTTTAACGCAGAAGTTTTACATGTCTTGGCAAAGCTGGTCCTGGGCTGGTTGTATGTTAATAATGAGTTAACCTTTATGGAATCTAGTCAGCTATTCTTTCGGGTCCTGAGATCTAACATTCAAAGCTTGGCAAAGTTTATTTAGATTAGACTAGATTTTAATTCGAAGTGCTAAATGCTTAAATCATTCTTTTATTTAAATGTTACTCTTCAATGATTAAACTTGCAATTGAAAAGTAAATGTGAAATGGTTTGAGGGAATATTCATGAAACTTTTCAGTAACCAGAAGAAGGCACCATTGCTCAAGTTACCCAAGAAACTATATCCTTCATTTAGACAGTGGCATAAACATGTTTTTTAGCTGTAGCATTGGGGATTTAAACATTGCGGTGTAGGATTACAAATTTACCATCATTTGTAAGCCATGCGTTTCCTACATAACTATTTAACAACAGCCAAAAGCTATGTGTTTAACTTTGTATTTGGTATTTAAGATTCATCAGTTAATGATTGTGATTTACAGAGAATTGATTTTTAAGATACACAAACTCTTTTTACATAATAGCAGCCAATGTATGTTGTCCTTGTTGGGGGCTGGTGGAATTAGGTAGGTGTTACTTGATTTACAGTCTTTTGTTATCTGATCGTGCTTTGAACTGGCCACTCCTTTTGTGGGGAGCCCCCAAAAGATTCCAGTGTATAAGATACAAAGAAAGAATGTTTTAGTTTGTTGTGTTGAAGGATTTTGGTCGACTGCAGCTTTGGACAATAAACTTGTTCTGTTACCCCAAAATCTCCTGGTCTTTGATTCTGAGTTTTCGGTCAAGACCTGCTCATTTCATTGTAAGCCTCTAGCAGTCGGTCGGTGAGCTGCAGCAATTGTCACTTAATAATAAAAATACCGTATTTTTCGGCTCATAAGACGCACCAGCACATAATTTTAAAGATGCACCAGCACGCACCAAATTTTAAAAGAGGAAGATCTAGAAAAAAAAGATTCTGAACCAAATACTGTTGTAAAATATTTTATATCAACTGTGTAAAAGTTAACAGCCAAACATGTAACATGAACAGACAGTAAACAGTAAAAGTAACAAAAAAAAGGCTGTAATGTTTTTCTTTGCCCCCACTCATCACTCTAAAGTCCACCATTCGTTATCACCATCACTGTTCCAGTGCAACATTGCACCCATATTAGTAATACCGTAATAGCCAGTAACATTGTCACTACATTACTAATAATAGCTAGTAACATTGCCCCCACATTAGTAATAATACAGTGGTTCTCAAACTTTTTTAGTCGAGCCCCCCTTTAAACCTTTAAAAGAATCTGGGCACCCCAGATGTAAAATAATAATTATTTAATAATTAATTAATAATTATTTTAATGTAAAATAAATGTAACTACTCCTTAATGTTAAATAACTCATTGTTTATAACTTATTCAAGTGACAATTCGGTTGCATGGTGTTAAGATATGATCCTTATGCGCTCTTACCTGGTTAGGAACACTACCCAATTGCAGAGCACGTTACTTACGTTTGTTATCTCGTATGTACATGTGTGAGATGTACCGTTGAGAGATGATTTGAGTTTGAGTTTATTAAAGAAGAGTTTCAGTCATTGAGAGCGTTTTGTTTTCCTCATGCGAGCAAGAGAGAGAAAGAAAGAGAGAGACAGAGCGCTCATCTGTGCACCTGACGTCAACACATGGAAACAATTGTATGCTTGCTGTTCTAATATAAATCCTTTTGATTTTTGTCAGCTTATGAAAACCCACATAACTCTATTAATGAAGGATCAAACTGTCCAAGTTTGTGAAACTGTCCAAGTGAATGTTTAGCGGAAAAAAAACCCTCACAGACTAACACTCATCTTATCGTCAGGCTCAAGAAACGTTGCAGATAAACTATTAGCTCTGCCCATTTCACATCTTGAAATGTATTTTAGCATGAGAAATCGGGTTTGTAGCGTGAAAGAACTCAAATGCGAGAGTCTTACGTTCAATGTGTGAGAAACGGCAGCTCTGTAGCTCGTGAGTATGGATGCGGAAGCACCGCTGCGGCTACCGTAGCCAAGGGCATTGTGGGAAGTGTAGTCTTTTTTTCCGTTTTCGTTACAACCGCGCTATGGCAGAGATGGGCGATGATGTCAGCGCATAGCGCCGGGTGTACAAATATGGCCGCGGCTTCGGCCTAGCTCTGTAGCTCTTACGCCTCTCATACGGCCATGACCGGACTTCGCGCCATCTTTTCCCTCTCAGTTTTGGGGAAGAAAAAGTGCGTCTTATGAGCCAAAAAATACGGTACCTTCAATTTTTATAACGCTTTTCCAGACACTCAAAGCTTTTTTATTATTATTTAGGAAGCATTATTCATTCACACACTGGTGGTGACAGAATGTGGCTGCCATTTACTGGCTAAATACACCCCACCAACTGCACATATCCATACAACGCAACGCCGGTGAAGTGGCTTGCCCAAGGTCACCATTGAAGAATTGACCTGGCGGGGATCGAACCGCCAACCTTCTGCTTATAGGACGACCAACTCTGCCACTTGCCGTCCCACTTCCTGTTATGCACCATGAGAGTGGTGCCTTTGGAATATGGAAGATATTTTAAAAATTTAAAAAGTACTAACAACCACAAACAGTTCTGCTATTCACTTGTTAAGTCTGACGTCGCGCTGCATTTCCGGGTCCCGGCGCTCCATTCGCCCATTGTAGAAAGTGAAAAAAAAGGGCTGATACGCTTTAAAACACTTTAAAGCAGTTTTAAATCAAGCTAAACATTATGTATAGATTACCAATAATGTGCTATAATAATTGTTAGAGTCAAGGTGTCGTAAAAGAAATAACGTTTATAACGTGGAAAGTTCTGTTCTTAAGCGCAAGTTAGAAAAACCCTGTGACGCGTTCTCAGAACAGATCTCTTCAGTACGCTTGGTACTGTCTCCGCTTGTGCTTGATACCGTGTTGGTTTCATAATTTGTGAAATATTTGTATGCAGTACCCTAATGTTTTCTGCCACCCGTTCCACCAACTCCAACACATTGCTTCACTCGCAAGGTAAGGTTTCACATTTGTGTTCATATTACGTAATTTGCATGTGTTTTAATTCTGTTTTATTATAATTTATTACATTAACGATGTGTAGATTTAAGGTACCACCCGAGGTACCACTATAATTTTATTTAATTTCTAACATTCTGCAACTTACTTATGTTTGGAGACAATTAGGTTTGGGTTAACAAGAAATTGGTATTGACATGGATCTTCTGCACCTCACTTCCACTTAATTTACTAGTGTTATCGTCGCATTTTTAAATGGAAACGTGTGCTATGGTGCATGGCATCAAAAAGAGTCAAACTTTATAAGGCAATAATAGTAGCCTGCATTTAAAATGTATGCGGTTCAAATGTGTTTTTTAAATGTTATAACGATATATGTCCACAAGAAAATGTTTTCTTCATGCTTTATTAGAATAACATTTGTT